ACATACATAACATACAAAGGGCGAGTAGAGATTGACAATCGGAGAGCAGTATGAAAAAAAAATCAATTTATTCTCTGCATCCAGCCATTCACCAATATTTACACACATTGCCTATTAATACATGAACCATTCTGTGCCTAATACTTGAGATTTGTTACTGCGGGTGCTGGACTGTAAACAGGATTCAGTAATCTGGGAAGAGAGTGGAAGAAGCGGAATATTCCAACATATAAACCATCTTTTTACTTTGACCTGGGACAAGGAAATGAAACAAAATCACATCAACATCAAGAAGAAACCAGGGCTGATTTTATAATACTTTTCTGTCTCCGGTAATTGGAAACAGAAAGACGGTCTGGTGAGAAGTTGTTCAATCCATACCACTTTTTATGATTAAAATCCGTACAACCCACAGGAGTTATCTGAAGTCCGGTTTTATACTTCACCCCCCAAAAATTTGTAGAACAGAATTTCTTTCTGCAAAGGACTTAACAGGTCTGACCACCCTATACAAATGTTTCAGTTTTGAGGAAATGCTCGCAGGCCGAATCATTCACCAACTTCTAATCAACTTCTGGACCTGAGAGTCCAGCCCTGTCCACTGCAGCAGTCATTACAAGGATGGCTCACTCTTAAGCTGGCCATACACCTATAGATTATCTGCAGACTTTCTATGGTCAGGTGCAACAGATTCCTCCATCTAAGCTAAACTGTGTGGATGGAGGAATCTCCCGCTGGGCCAAGCTTCAGTATCTTGCTAGTCGGCCCAGTTGGCTCTAAAAATACCTGAGCAATCTGATTGGATGCAGACATTGTTCAGGTATTTTTAGAGCCAGCGGGGCCGACTAGCAAAATACTGAAGCTTGGCCCAGTGTGAGATTCCTCCATCCACACAGTTTAGCGTAGATGGAAGAATCTCTTGCACTTTTTCCTTCTAAACATAGAAAATCTGCAGATAATTTATAGGTGTATGGCCAGCTTTATTTTCAGAAACAGTAACTCTCAGCAGCAGGCAGAGGCCAGAGCTGGAAGCCTTTAAAAGCTCCTTGCAAAGGTTCCCGAGAGAGAGAGATTTCAGTGCACCATACAAGTCGCTGGCGTTCATTCATAACATTGGGGCAAACGGCATTATTCACATTTGTGATGGATAGCTGGCACCTCCAGGTGGTTCCATGACAAACTGCTATGATACAGAAACAAGCAGCTTCTGTATTTGCAGTCCGGTCACCCCCCTTTCCCATTCTGCACTTTACTATTGGCCCTTTGGCTTTAAACATAGGTGGCGATCACAGAAGCTGGTCATCCTTTGCATATTAGAGTTCTCTGATATTTGGGTCTCTGAAAGAAAAGCAATACAGAATGCCGACAGGCACTTGGAGCTGCTCGCTATCCAGTATTAAGATTTCCACTTTTTATTCCTGGCCACAGGTCCACTTTAAAACAGATCTACACCCAAAAACAAACATTTAGGGTGAATTCACATCAAAAGTGGCAGGAATTGCAACGGAGGGTCTGTTGACCTGCGGTAATACCTTCCTTTTTTTCTTCTGATCCGTTGCAATCTGTTTTTCAACGGATGCTAATGGAAGAACATTGAAAAAGGAATGGGTGTGAATGGGACTTCACACCGGATCCGTTGTGTTACGCTGGAAAAAAAGTAGTGCATGTTCTACTTTGTTTTCAGCACAACGTAACACAGTGGTATGAACCAGCCCCATTCATTTTGTCAGTGCCCTTCTGTTAGCAGCCAATGTAAAATAGATCACAACCCAACGGATCCAGTGTGAATGGGCCCTTAATCTATTGCATCTTACCACCAGTCCTTAGATGAAGTAGCTGCATTAGCTCTTTTTTTTCCTGACGGTTTTTCTTCGTTTTAAACCTAGTAATCCTGCAAATAACACACTTCCTCTCCCAGCATTCCTGGCAGGATCAATGAGTATTTTCTGTTCTTGCTGAAAATGATCTTAGGCTGAACAAAATAAAAAGAAAACGAATGCAGCCACCACATCTAAGAATTGTTAAGCTGCACTATGTTACATTTTTGTTTAGATATACTTCAAATGTGGGCACAATTATCTTTAAGGGTCTATTCACACCATATCCAGATCATCTCCAGACCCAAAATGCATCCTAATGTATCCCTATGCTATTTTTAGCCTCTGTCCATACCAGCGCAGTCCCTTCCACACCAGACCAGAAAAATACTGCATGTCTCATTTTGTCTGGTCTGCAATGCACTGGAACTGCGGGCAGGTTCACACCATTTTCCGGACCAGATCTGGTCCAGGAAAATGGTGTGAATCTGCCCTTAAAGCTGTACGGTTTAAGCTTCCCCAGGCAGCTTTTGTCTGATCCTTTTGCTGCGCAATCTTTATAACTGCTAAACTTGGATACAATATAAAGCTGCTTCCCTGACATGACAGCTCTGTTTGCAGAGAAATAAGTTGTATTTGATAGTATTCTCTAAACAACAAACCTGACCACATAAGTGTGCAGGAACGAATCAGAGCTTGAAGAAAGTGGAATAAAGGAATGGGCTGCCATTAGTCACTTCACTTTGAACATGCTAGTTTCCTGACTGACTCTGGTTTAAATGTTTTCCAAGTCAGTGGCGTGTAATAAGTATGCAGTGAGTCAGAATTCCTAAACTGCATACTTCTGGGTTAAGAAAGCATTGAAGCCTCTGGATTATCATGACTGACAGGCAGTTAGTATTATTACCGAAAAAGGTGAGCAAAGGCAACTTCCTGCATTTCCCTCATTACAGGTTTTCATTAAAAATAAGAGGAGTGAAATCTACTTTTTAGATAGCCGGTATTACCTATATTCTTCCAACAATGCTTGTGGATTTACTGTTCAAAGTGAGAAATGTTCAGGTTGCCATAGATGAGCCTTTCTTGTTGGACTTGTAGATGCAATGCAGTCCTGTGTCTATAGAACCACAGCGAGAAGTTGTTTCCCATAGTGAGAGAGTATGAACATTCTCTTAGTTATAATTTACTGCACAACTGAAGAGAAAAGGTCACATATACTATTGCTGCCTATACAGCTGATGATTTGACTGTAGTGCCTTACAAGTCCCAATTGTCCAAAAGTTGTGAACGATACATTAGGGCCCATTCACACCAGAACCAAGTGTGCGGCAATGCATGTTTTCATGTGTTGAGGAGCATTAGGCAGCCTATTCAGAATGGATGGCTTGCAATGTACCTCAATGCACAAAAAACGAGTGCAGGTCGCATTTTCTCAAAGTGCACTGAACCAGATACAGTTGGGGTGCGCTGCAATGCACATGCGTAGTAGGGGTGTGTTCAGGTGCCATTCAAAATGAATGGCACTGCAGCGCACCAATGCAAGTTGCTGAAACACAGGCGGGGTGAACGGTGCCTTATGATGGCTGTTAGCTGTGAGAGCCAAGGCTCCCTCCGTTGCTGGGAGCTGTTCTAGTCCATATTGGGCCCCATTCACACAGGAAGATCTGGGATGGCTACGGCAGGAATCCCAGGTGTCCTGTTCAGATGTGGACACTGTGTCCATTCAAGTAAATGACAGGGTGACAGCAGCCCCCATCTGTAAGAGGCAGTCTGCGTGCAATCGTATACGAGAAGATTATATGCAGTTTGGAATAGATGACTGTCGCTGGACGCATCTATCCTGCGTCCAACAACAGTGATCTATTTCAAACCGTATGCAATCATACCGTGTACAAGTGCATGAGGACTTCTGCTTTCAGATGCGGCCTCTGTCACCTGGTAAATAACTTCAATGGGTACAGCGTCCGCACCTGAACGCCACATGAATGCCAGATCACCCGGTGTAGACCAGGCCGTAGAGTGCATGATGTTCCACAAGGGGAACTCTGCTGTCTGGGACACACACAATGCTTCTGGCAGTTGGCAATGGCGTTCAGTATTTCATGGAAAAACTTCCGCTGCGACAGGCATCAACGGCCCCGACAGCATTTCTTGTAATGGATCACCAATGCAAACTATGGTTTCATAGATGTAGTCATGCTTGTAAACATTAAGAATAATTTCATCCTGTGGTTTGGAAATGGCCCAAATCTGCCCTTCTTCAGTATACATAACAAACAATAAAAAGCAGGAGGGGAAGGGGAATAAGGGCTCACTTTAAATAAACTCTTTACAATACTCAAGTGGCAAACTTTAAGATTTCGGCTATAAATACTTATACTTCCTTTTGGTTTTGTTAACCTGCTGCTCTTTGCATAATATAGCACATACATAAATGTTTTATAAAATCCTATTTATATATATAAATATATATATATATATATGTACAAGGAGGTGTCTGCCCAGGCCAATCGAAGGCTTGTGGGAGCACAAAATCCAGACAGACAAAGCAGTTTAGAGTTTGACACAAGGACCTGACCGAATCTCTGTACAGTAATTCATGAACTAGCTGCCTCTTTGCACCACTGAGCTTACTCAGGGTCACAGTGCAAGCGATAATGTAGCAAACCACAACATGATTGGACTACAATAAACTAAAATATGATTGGCAGATATGGGTTACTGCACTTTGCCCCACCTCGCTGAACAAGCCTGCCTGTATGCTCTGTATTGACATGTGCATTCAATTCAAAGAGCTTCACCATGTGAGGAGTCCATCGTTAAAGGGGGTCGGTCACACAGCAAAACACAGGTGTAAGAAGCCTCAGGTGGAAGCTGTCATTTCCAAATCATGAGTTGCATGCTACCAGGGCAGTGACGACATAAGCAGTGAGGACGAGTTGATTCGTCTTCACTGCCATAAAAATTGTATGCAGCTTGGGAGTTGGGTAGCAAGTCATTTCATCTGAGGTTCCACCACTGGGAATTTGCTTTATGACAGATCCACCATAACTGTGCTGTCCTTAGAAATACACCGTAAATATATGGATATATATGTATATATATACACACTTACAGGGGATGCATGTTTATAATGAAAACATTAAAATAATGTACAAATAGACGGCATAAGCCGTAACACAAGACGATTATTCATTTAAAAACAGATTGCGGAACTGTTACATTTCTCTCTTCGGTTTATATCCACGAAGATTTACTTTGCTGACTTTACAAATAGTGGTATCAGTTGCTTAAAAAAAAAAAAAAAAATTATATTTATATAAGCGCGTGTTGTTATGTATGTGGGTTTCACTGGCAGAATGGAGATGCCGTGGGGTCAAATCCTTTAAAAACATCCTTAAGTGAGCCGGCGTCCTGTTCAGTGTCCTGTGTTGGGCTGTTTCCAGCAAAGGGGCTTCCATTGCCGCTCTTGGCTTGCTTGACCAAGCCATAGACAGATGGCACTGGCAAGTTGTGAACAGGAGCCTGGCTGCTATCCGAGACAGCTGCAGTTTTAGCACGGGGTCGGTTATAACTGTTGTAGCGGTCAGTGGCAGTATCTGAAGTAGGTTTATCTGCTTCCGGTTGGTCCAGGGCAGACTTGCGCACAAAAAGGGGCTCTTTTGGTTTACTGGCAGTTTTGCTGTCTGAACCCTTAGAAGATGTCTCATTAGAAGTGGTCTCAGCTGAATTCTTGCTCCCTGTTCGTGGGTCATACAAACTAATGGAGCTGAGAACGTTACTTTGGCCGCTGGGTTTGCTCAGGCCCCCTGCAGTCAGCAAACGGGGGTCATAGGGAGCAATGGTTGTTGTGCTCTCAGTAGGAGGTATTATGGGAAGGGGCTGTGTGGGCTCTGGTGGCCTTGCAGGCACCGCAGGTTCTGTGGATTTTTGAAGACGCGGGTCAGCAGGAGGCTTCCGTGTTCGCGGATCACTGGGTTTTTCAGCTGGTGCTGCTGCAGTAGTAGTAGAGGCAGCATTGACAGTCTGCAGAATCCTAGACAGCAGTTCAAAATCTGGCAGGCTAGAATTTGATGCTGGTGCATCAGTAGCTGTTCCCCTCTGACGTGGGTCATTTGATGTTGAGGTGGACGGACGGTTAACTCTGGAATCAAGACCTTGCATGGACTGTAGTGCAGGAAGCACTGGTATGAAGTCCTGCTTTGGAATGGGCAGGGGGATAAGGTCTTCAGGACTCCATAAAACAGTCCTGGCAAAGCTTGGTTTGATCAAACTTACATCTTTTTTTATGTGGCTGAACTGCTGAAGCTTGCTTCTCGGGTCTCTTAATGTATGTACAGGGAGAGGATCAAGGGGGATGTTAACAGGCTTTTCCCGTAGTATCCTCTCACCTTCTTCTTCATCTCCAGCGACTTTATTTACTGGAGAATCTTGATTGGAAGACTGGACTGCATGTCTAGCCAATCTAGGGTCACTTGGCCCTTTGTCAGATGGAGGGTTGTCTGTATTGCGCGACAGTCGAGGATCACGAGAGAGACGGGGATCAGTAGGACGGCTAGACGGGGCAGCGGAATTTTTTTGCAGACGAGGGTCAACCTGTCCCCCTGTACCAGTGTCTCTGTCAGGAGCCTGTGCAGCAGGTCGGTTAGATGACTGCTGCCGTAATGTCTTAAGGATTGAGGTAACGCTACTTCCTCCTTCCTCCTCATCACTGGAGTACCAGTTGCCAGGATCACCTGAAAATGTTAACAATGGTCATTAGTTCATAATGCACAGAAAGACTTGGTAGAGGAAAGTTGCAAAGAAGTTGAAGAATTTATAGAAAATAAGCCAGAAAATGATAAAGAATTAAATGGAAACACCATCATTGATCAATTAGATATCTGTTTGTTAGTGTCGCCATATGTGGCAAGTACAATATGTCTGAAGCAAGTTCAGGTGACAGCACCTCTACTACACATTGTGCAGAGTCTGCATATGGAAAAAATATGGTGGATCCAATGTACATATAAAATGACAATAATACATATAGGTGTTGAAGCCTTTGAAAACATTTAGGGCCCAATAACACCTGGGCACGTGTTAAGGAAGCCCTTTCACTTTGAATGGGCCCTCAATGTACCTCAGCACACTACAGAATTCATTTGTACTATTTTTGGCAATATATCACACTTACATTTGTGCATTTAGTGCTTTTTTTCCTTACTGTATATGTGCATTGAGGTGCCATTACAAATGAAAGGTAATGCCCATATACAACATCATTCTGTTTATTGTGGTAACGCACAGTAAAACACAGGTTTACACATGTTACCAGAAACTGTAGTTGTGATTCCAGCCTAAGGGTAGCTTGATATATTTGCCTTGAACTCAGTTTTACCCATTTTGTGACTAAAAGTGTACGAGTTAAATGTAGCAGCATCAGTACGTGTCCACAATAACTCTATGACTAATTACCCTATCCAAAGAATCTTACTTCTTTCAATTATTAGGTTTAATATTATGTCTTAAAACATTAAAAGAAAACTATGGGGTAAGTGTTTCCCCCCATAGTTCTCTTAAGGGTCACGGGAGGACATATACTAACCTCCTCCCATGACCCAAAGCTCAGTATATAGCAAGCTACAGATCGCGGTATACTGGGACTGCAGCAGCCGGGACAGATCCCGACATCACTGTCGAGATCCACCCAGCTGCGTGAGTAACAGCAGGCTCTGCCTATCTAGAGGCAGAGCCAGCTGTACCCGCCCTTTCCCCCATCCGTTCCTCCACTCAGCGCTGGAGGATTGGAGAGGGGAGGGGGGGAAATCCTGCGGGGAGAGGTGACTGAAAGTCACGGCTTTCTGCAGGGAGATGATCGAGAAGTGAGCGAACGACGGTATGTGTTCTCTCGCTTCCTGATCTATTAAGCCGACGTGTGACAGTTCCATTGTCACACGTCGGCTCGAACTATCACTCACCTCATAGTTCTCCTTTAAGTTGACAAATAAAGAAATACAGTGGGACTATCACAGACATGGCTTTGTGTAGATGGTGGAATGACAGATAGGCGAGGCTGAACTCCAGGGACATGGCTTATCACCAATGTTTGAGAAGTCAGTGTTCGGGGATGATGAAGGTATTAAAGTGACCCGAATAGAAACATCAGTGGACCATCTCAGATATTTCCAATATTTTTATAAATGCATAATTACTCACAAGAATTCATGTCTCAAAAATGGAGATTGGACCGAGATGCGAGTTACACAACTGAAAACTAACGTACTAGGTGGCCAGTGCTCCTGCTAACCGGGATCAAATTCTTGCAAAGAAAACCATGATATTCACCTTGTACTGCAATAATAGCTATGATACAGTAAAGGATGAGGGGAGGTGAAGTAGGTATTGTACGTCTTACACTGAAGAACATTTCAGGGCCTATTCACTCTTGTTTGTTACTGCGGTAAAACGATAGAATTTTACCGCATATTCAAAAAAAAAAAAATTACATTTCAGCACTTAACATAAAATCTGTCTCTTGGAGTTCATTAACCTCCTTCAGGCGGGTTGCGGTATATATACGGCGGGCCCCTGAAACGGTTATATCAAGAACACACCTGCTGCTGCAGCTATGTTCTTGGTACTGTTGTAAACAGCCAGCGATGTTTTTTCAGGTACAAGTGTTCCAGCAGCTGTACAACTGCCTGATCTTTTGTACCGAGCGGCTGTGTGTGCCCCCCTTCCACCAACTTCCCCGGGGGGGCTTCGATGTCCCCTGTGCGGGCCCGGAACCAGCACAGCGGGCTTCCCCGCATAGATCGGAGGGAGGTCAGCAAGCTTGTTATATGTAATACATCACTTCCGGTGTCATAGTACACATTCTCCAGCTCCTGTAGCCAGGAGAAGAAGTTGTTGAAGCAGATCTCTGCTTCATCAGCTTCTTTGGGGTCCCTAGATGACATTAGGGGGTCATACAGACCCCTGATTTCTCCATAAAGAGAGCCTGTCACATCATATTTACTATGACATGGGGGGCTTGTGATGCCCCCTTTGTGATTCCAATAAAGTGTAAAAATAAATAAAACGTTAAAGTAACATATAAAAATATGCAAAAAAAACTTTTTTAAAGTCCCCACATACACACAAACACGTGTTGGGTGCGCCTACGTGCAAAAAAAAAAAAAATTACACCACACGATACATAACGCCGCGAACGTCAGTGTGAGAGCAAATAATTCTAGGGCCGTCAATCACTGTTAACACTAAACCGATGAGCAGTAAAAGCTATTAAAGCGTCTCCTATGGGAAATTTGGGGTATTGTAGTTCTTTGCAATTTCACGGGTGCGCGCAATTTTAAGGCTTGACATGTTTGGTGTCAATTTACCAGACGTGACCACGTCTTTTATATTTCACCCAAAAATTGGCTATTAGAATCTGATTCTGTGCACGAAATTTCATCTTAGTGCATTTTATCCTAAAAATACTGGTTTGATAAACATTTGCGCAAATAATGTGCACCATAACAAATTGCTACTAGCATTTTTTTTATTCTACATGGCCTCTTCTTTCAGAAAATATATAAATGTTTGGGGGGTTTTAAGCTGTTTTCTAGCCAAAAATTCAGATTTTATCATGTGTTTGCAAATAGTAAAACATTGCTCCGGACAGCACGTAGTTAAGGGACTGAGGATTCAGAGACAATTGGGTTATACTGCCATCTACAGGGGAATCTGGACACTGGCAGCAAATAAAAAAAGGTCCCCAGTCTGATATAACGCCCTCCAGTCCCAGCATGCAGAAAAACAAGTACTAGGTGTAAGATCACAAAATTGAGATGAAATCCAAGAGAAATGGATTTTACTATGTGCAAAAATCCTCTTTTCTTTCTTGTTCATGTAAGGACACAGAATTCTGGGACAACTGAGACATCCAAAAAGAGTCCAGCTCTGTCTGTCCCACTTTTAAAACAGTGCTGGAATGGACACACTATGTGTGCAGGACAAAACTGACACAAGTTACTCTAACCTGACTGGCCCAGACTCAGAGTGATTCCAAACAGCGATTGCAGTGAAATCTGAAGACGCCTTTTTTTTTGTAGCATAAAGTCATTAAGTCCTTTCCATAGGACAGATTAAGAAAACAACAATACTTAAATGACAGAAGAATAAGATATATTCTATGGTGAGCTTATACTTAAAAAAGAACTATGGGGTAAGTGTTTTTCCCCATAGTTCTCTTTGGGTCACGGGAGGAGATATACTAGTGCTCCTCCTGTGACCCAAAGCTCAGTATATAGCGGACTATTGCCCGTGATATACTGAGAGCCCCAGAACCGGGACGGATAACGACAATACTGTCATGACCCACCGAGCTGGCTGATTGACAGCAGGCTCTGCCTATCTGGAGGCAAAGCCAGCTGTGCCCGCCCCCTCCCCTGACCGTTCCTCCAGTCAGCGCTGGTAGATCGCAGCGGGGAGAGGGGAATCCCTGCGGGGGGTAATGACTGACAATCACCGCTCTCTGCAGGGAGATGATCTGGAAGTGAGCAAGCGACGGTATGTGTTCACTCACTTCCCGATTAATAGAGCCGACGCGTGACAACTTCTTTGTCACAGGTCAGCTGAAACTATGAGGATGAGTGGAAATCACTTATCTCATTGGTTCTCCTTTAAGTTGACTTTGTTCATTTTTTTTTTGATGAGGAGAAGGTTAGCACTACTCAAAACGGACATCTTGTTGGACTATGCATGAATGCTGACAAGTTAAAGTGACACTAAACCCAGGAATTAAATCTTAATGCATTCAGGTACCATAACGATTAACAAAAATTTATCTTATTTGTGCTTAAAATGTGGAATATAACATGGGTGCAAAAAATGAAAAAAGGGCATCAGTCATGAAGGGGTTAAAGAACATACTGGGCTCCTGACTGTTTGTGCAACCAAATACCAGCTTTCATAGCATAACAGACGGCTAGTTTGAGAGCTGAAATTTGGTTGCCAAGAGCAGAATCCTATCCCCTTCTGTACTTTATACACACAAACCCCTTCTGGTGAAATTACTTGTGTATAAGTTAAATCACCTTCTTCATTATCTCTGTCCTGCTGAGTTCCTCCTGCCATCCTCCTTGCTCGCTCCTCTTCTTCTTGCTGTTTCTGCTGAATACGCATGTACAGTGCCCGTTGTGCAGAGGGCAAGAAGTCTGGGATGTTCCCTTTGTTGAAAGGTGGCATGTCCATATTTTCGGGATCTTCTTCTGAATTGTGCTCGTGGTATCGGTGAGGATCTTCTGAAATATCTCCATAGTTGTCATAGGCACCTAGTTAAGAAAAAAAAAAAGAGTTTTGTCTAGGATAACTTGAGTTATTACTGCTGAGAATATAACACATTAGTAGAGTAGGGTTGAAGGAACCTTATTTTACATCTCAGTGCTAGTAGCAGATATACTGTGATAATGTCTGAAGTCAAAAGACTATCAATGAGATACAAGTCCTAGATCTCTAGTAAAGAAATCAAATATAACATATGTATGGCTCAAAACACTGCATGCCTGTTTTAATCCAATCTTGTACTTAGTTGTATATTTACCTTTAGAGGTGTGTGTGTGTGTGTGTGTGTGTAAAATATATATATATCCTCAGAAATCCTTTTTAATATTAACAGCAAAGAGGCAATTTACGCCACACAACCCAATATACAGAATGTATTCATTCTCTCCCTCCCTCCCCTCAGGGGAATTTAAAAGCCAATTGTTCCTTTCTGAAAAAAACTGAATGAAGAAATACAGGATGCATACTTTTGAAAAAAAAAATGTTTTTGTTTTACCTTTTTTTCCAAGTGCCAGCCCAAGAAGGAGAATCTCCATTGCAGGGTGCAGATAAGGACTGCGGCCCATGTTTGAAGAATCTCCAGCAGTTCCACCCACCCCTTTCAGTGACAACTACTTAGTTTCAATCATAGAAGCTCGTGCTCCCTGCTGATTGGTAGGTAGTTGTGACTGGGGAGAAGAGACTGTGGTAACTCTGCATTCCCCCGCTGCCCCCCTCATACTTCTGCTGCTGCCTCGTTCCTTCTCTGCCCCCGTTCCTCCACTGCCACCTCACGTCTCCACTGGCCCATCCTGTTCCTCCTAAGCCCCTTCCTCCTCAGCCCTGCCCCACCCCATTTTTCCTATGCCCCGCCCATGTGTCTCAGCTGCAGTCCCTCTCATCTAGAGGCTGGGAGCCATACCGAGCCTGCTATTGGATATTTTAGATTGCAATAGCAGGCTGGCTATTGCACCCGCAAACTGCCTGCTATCAATCAGCAGGGGAGGACCTAATGGAGAACTTTCTCCTTCAGGTCCCTCCTCTGCTGATTGACAGCAGGCAGGTGCAATGGCCAGCCTGTTATTGGCTATTGCAATTTTAGGCTGGCTATTGCTGCCAGCAATAAAGTACAAAAAAAGTTTAATAAACAAAAACTAAAAAGACTAAAAAATAAATAAATACAAATTAAAAATGCAAATTTTACAAATATAAAGAAAAAAAATGGTGTGTTATTTAAGTCATTTTCAGTTTCGGCCTGACAAAAATTGCTGCAGGAGGTGCGTTGCGGCACCATTCATTTCAATGGATCCCAAATGTACATCCCGTTCGCAGTGTGATCGCCCGCACTGGAACGTGCGGTACTGCAATGCCCTGCGTTCCAGTGCAGTGCGATTTCACAAAATGTGCATAAAGTTTACTTCAGAATAAAACGGTATGTTTAACGCTGCATTTGGGTATTTTATTTTAAATTTAATGTTTTAATTTTATCCGATTAATCAAAGTTAATAATCGGCTAACTAATCGATTATGAAAATAATCGTTAGCTGCAGCCCTACCAAGGACCCAGCACCATCACAAACTGTGTCTATTTCCCCTACCATTTTGACATTAGTATGAACAGCTCATACAGAAGCAGAAAAGCTTTGATTGTTCTGGATGCTAAGACTTTTCTATTAGTTCCCACCTATTCAACATACATGCCCCTACAAGCTGAAGACATGACATGACTTCAGTTGGGGTGCTTAGAGACATGGAGCTACCATAAGTATTTTTCTTATTAAATGGGTTTATTTATTTTACAATATTTAAAGAAGAACTATGAGGCGAGTGATTTTCACTCAGCCTCATAATCTGAGCCGACGTGTGACAATGAAACTGTCACAGGTCGGCTCAGTAGATCGGGAAGTGAGCGAACACATACCGGCGCTTGCTCACTTCTCGATCTATCCGTGCAGAGAGCGGTGATTGTCAGTCATTACCCCCCGCAGGGATTCCCCTCTCCCCGCTCCGATCTGCCAGCGCTGACTGGAGGAACGGTCAGGGGAGGGGGCGGGCACAGCTGGCTTTGCCTCCAGATAGGCAGAGCCTGCTGTCAATCAGCCAGCTCGGTGGGTCATGACAGTATTGTCGTTATCCGTCCCGGTTCTGGGGCTCTCAGTATATCACGGGCAATAGTCCGCTATATACTGAGCTTTGGGTCACAGGAGGAGCACTAGTATATCTCCTCCCGTGACCCTAAAGAGAACTATGGGGAAAAACACTTACCCCATAGTTCTTTTTTAAGTATAAGCTCCCCTGTCCGATCCTCCAGCACTGACTGGCGGAACGGATGGGGCTGGTACAGCCGGCTCAACCTCTAGATAGGCAGAGCCAGCTATCACTCACGCAGCTGGGTGGATCCAGACAGAATTGTCGGGATCCGTTCCGGCGTCTCAGTATACCGCGAGCTGTAGCTCGCGGTATACTGAGCTTTGGGTGATGGGAGGACGCTAGTTTGTGCCCTGACCCCATAGTTCTCCTTTAAGTGAGATCAAGAAGTGAGAAGTTCTGTACTCGTCCTAAAAAATATTGCTACTCAATGGTGCCAGAAGATTGAATTTGATCACCTTGCCTTTATGTTTACAAGGAACAGAGGAATTTGATTGGCTGCTGAAAGGCATCACTTTTATAATATTAAACAATAGCTTTGGCTAAGAGGAACCTACGCGCATTGTGTTCTGCCACATAAAGTCTATCACTCAAAAACCTAATTACCGGCTGCTTGTGGAATTGTGGAAATGAGACAAGACTAACTGGAGATCAGAAATAAAATGCATTACACACAAAACTGGAGATAAACCAAACCAAAAAAAAAAGTGAAATAAATACCTCCATCTCCCATCATATCAGGTCCCATCTCCATATTCGGGTCTGGATAATATTCACCATAGAAGTCTGGGCCAGGTGGACCATCAACCATCATATCCGATCCGTCATCAGGGCCAAAGGGCATCATGGGTGGTCCTTCCTCCATGTCCATATCGTGAGGACCCATGGGTCCGGGAGGCCCAGGAAACCTTGGTGGAGGTGGGCCTGGGGGACCTCCGGGTGGACCAGGGGGTCTAAACAACAAAGATGAACAAACAGCTCAGTGAATCAGAACCAAGAACACAAAGTAACAACAGTTCACAAGAGCAATATCTTACCTGACACCCAATTTATGAGCCAAATGGGCAGTGGGCCGCACTACAATTTCAAACAGGGATGGTATTTTTCGCTGGCACATCTGTGAATCCATATGGGGAGATCCTCCAGACAACGGGCTGCCCTGCATTGTTTCCATTGGAGGACCCCCTGGTGGACTTCCAAGCATTGGTCCTCCATCTTGCATTGGAGGTAGTGGGCCTCCAGGTCCAGCATGCATTGGAGGCATGGGACCTCCCTCACAGGGATGCATAGGGCCTCCTGGATATGGAGGCAATGGACCTTCTGGTGGTAGTGGCTCTCCAGGCCCAGCAAGCATTGGATGCATTGGGCCACCAGGAACAGGAATACCAGGCATTGGCTCTCCGTGCATTTGACCTCCTGACATATGGCCTCCGGGCAATGGACGACCACCGGGAATCGGGCCTCCTGGACCACCATGAATTGGTCCACCCATCACAGGGCCTTCAGGAACTAGCCCAGGACCTCCAGTCATTATTTCTTCTTCTGGAGGGCTTCCAGGTCCATGCATGTCTGAGCCTGGCAATGGCCCACTTAGAACTGGACCCCCAGAAAGTTGAGGAGCAGGAACTGATGGACCAGATGATGGTAATGGTACAGCAGGTGGTGGGGATGCTGGGTCACATGGTCCTGCAGCATTAGAAGGTCCTGATGGTGCTGAAGGTGTAGGTAGCAGTCCCACACCAGGCGGTGGTTTAGGCAAAGGATTTATGCCTTGTTTTTTTAATTCTTCTACATCCTTTTCATCCTCAGCTCCAGCTTCTGCATCCTCCGCCAATAACTGAAGAGAAAGTATATATTCAGCTCACTGAAGTGTACATCGAAAGCAAACTAAATTCAATGAATGACAAATATGTTCACACAGAAATAGCTAGAACATCAACTTCTGCGGGGGGTTTTAAGCAATAGGCACATACTGTTTATACAACAGTGCATAAATCCTAACTTTGGAAAATAATCTGAGGCTACCTGGCTTACTACAAGGCAGTCTGACTAAAAATATTTATGAAACAAGGAGATTTATAAACAGCAATAATTAAACCTTTCCTGAGAGAATTATGGGGGGGGGGGGGGCGTTT